ATCCATCACAAATGTAAAATTAATATAAAAAGTTCATATCAATGTAAAATGCCAATAGTAACTATTGTGTGTGTATACATACTGTGTGTGTGTGTATATATATATATATATATATATATATATATAGCTTTGTAGGATTGTGAAATTGAGCAGGTTGAGATTTAAAAGTAAAAGTAGTGTACAAATAATTCAAATATTTGTTTACTCAATTTTATTTTACAGCATTTGCAGTATTACCATTACAATTTGTTTAATATTTCTATTTTAAAATCACTATAAAATCATGATAATTATTAACTTAGTCTTGTTAAATTGATTAAAAACAGTGGAAATGTGGCCTATGAAAACTAAAAAGTGGAAAGATTTTGGAGTGGAAAACTAATGCCCACTTTAACTGTTTCTAGGGTCGTCTAGTTGCAGAGGTCCAAATCAGGCCACACCAAAAAAGAATGGGCTGAAGAACGGAGGTCATATGAAGAACAAAGACGATGAATGTTTTGGAGATGGTATGGAAGATGTTCTCGATGAGGACTTTGATTTTGAGGGGAACCTGGCGCTGTTCGACAAGGCTGCGGTGTTCTCGCAGATCGATTCGTCAGAACGGCGAGGCAATGGTGCGAGATCTCGAGGTACACCTGGAGAGCAAACGCCATCACGATACCGGCATGACGAGAACATCCTAGAGGCCAAACCCGTCGTCTACAGACAGATCACAGTTCCACAGAATGGAACGAAAGAATATAGCACTGGTAAGAATTTGACCTCATGATCTTTTTGATAATTTATCTAAATTTGTCTTAATTCATGCCATTTATCCCAGACTCAGGGCTGGTGGTACCCAGCATCTCTTTCGAGTTGCACAAGCGTTTATTAGCTGCAGCAGAAAGTCATGGTCTCTCTCTGGAGCGCAGGCTTGAAATGACAGGTGTATGTGCGAGTCAGATGGCCCTCACGCTACTTGGAGGCCCGAACAGGTTTGTGGGGCTTTAAAAGAAATTGCGTAATCAAAAATATCTTCAGCATGTCTGGTTATCATTGGTCTGGTTTTTCTCATAGACTTACCCCAAAGAATGTGCATCAACGGCCCACGGTAACCCTGCTGTGTGGACCACATGTCCAAGGTGCTCAGGGCATCAGCTGTGGCCGGCACTTGGCCAACCATGAAGTGGAGGTCATCCTTTTCCTGCCAAACTTCGTCAAGATGTTGGAGGCCATCACCAGCGAACTTGCACTCTTTGGGAAGACGGGAGGCAAACTGGTTTCTAATGTGAAAGGTGTGACACTATTGCATCTAGATTTAACAGTCATTCATGATACAAGTCGTAGCCTAATGGTTAGAGAGTCAGACTCGTAACCTAAAGGTTGCGGGTTTGAGTCTCGTACCGGCAGGGATTGTAGTGAATGTACAGCGCTCTCTCCTACCTTCAATACCACGACTGAGGTGCCTTTGAGCAAGTCACCGAACCCCCAACTGCTCCCCGGGCACCGCAGCAAAAATGGCTGCCCACTGCTCCGGGTGTGTGTTCACTGCTGTGTGTGTGCGCACTTTGGATGGGATAAATGGGTCATCATACTTGGCCACATGTCACGTCACGTCACTTCACTTCACTACAACAGTATCTTTTTTTTTTTTTTTTTACATTTATAACTATTATTATTTTATTAAAATATCAGATATTTTTTAGCATTATTGGTTGATATTGGAGATATACAGTATATATATACAGTGGGTACGGAAAGTATTCAGACCCCCTTAAATTGTTCACTCTTTGTTGGGCTGCAACAAACTATTATTTTGATATCTGACGATTATTAGAACTGATTAATCAGTAGACTTTGATTATTCAGATTTTGCAATTATTTAAAATATTGAGTTATACATATTCTAACAAATAAAGGTAATCACTTCAGCTTTTGAAAATCATA